ATTCTGCGTCTGGTTCCCAGTTGAAAATAAGGAGGAATGTTACAATCGGTCTCACGGTGAATGTCCCTTTAATGCTGATGTTTATATATATATATGGTGACTAAGAGACACTATATTAACAATAATAATTGTAATAATAACGGTTGGACACAACAACTTATTTCTGGAAATGTTTTATTATATTTGTAGTAAAACTAAAATCTATGAAGGCAAACGTGAGTTAAATGTATTTTTGTTAAGAAAAATATATAAAAAAAAATAAAGTATTAATATTTTTTTTACAAATTAAATATTTATTGTTGCGCAAAGTTTGTATAAAACTATCATTCTATAAGGTTGGCTCATCCGCTAAAGTCGGCCTTTGTGATCATTTAAACCCAGTACATTTCAATCCTGAATTTGTCCGGTTTCATACAGTCCTCGAACTGTTCGAGGTATTGCTGCACTAATTAAATAAATACCATAATTTAGACCCACGAGATCAAATTATTTTTATAGTTCTTTATTTTAGTACAATTTTGCTGCCATTTTTATTTTGAAAATTGGTTTATAAATAGCTTTAACTTATTCGTAATCATTGTTTCAATACCTTTTAACAACATTATCAATAATTGCTGATGACAAACGTTAATTATATAATTAAAGTAGCGAATACGACTGATTTTATTTTCCTGTTGCAAAAAATATGTTTAATTGCTTTTGATAATATCGTATAATTGCGATGAAGACGAAATTATGATACAATGATTATACAACATGTGCCGTTCGAAGTCAAACTAATAGATGAACAATTTATTGTTAGTAAATGGACGTAGTTCAGAATATTACAAAAATTTAAATCATTTAAATATAAGAGCCGACGCTGCCAAATAAACTATTAACATTTTTAAATTACAACCAAAACTATATACATCGAACTTAAAGCAGGTGAGTGTATTTAAAAATATATATTTTTGGAAATGATTTATTATATTTAAAGTAAAACGAAAATCAATTCAAGAAAATTTGTATGAAATATATTTTAGTACAGAAAAAAAGTTTAATTGCTTTTAATAATATGGTATAATTGCGACGCATCTATTGTCCAGCAATTAAAATGAAACAATTTGTAAAGTCTGATGCGTTGATGATACAACATGTGCTGTTCAAAGTCAATATAGTAGATCAATAAATTATTGTTACTAAATGGACGCACTTAATAATATTGATTTGTGGCTTGAAAATACTAATAATTAGACCAATTGAGATTTTCATGATAACATAATTATAGTGCAAAACTATGTTTTTTTTTCATCGGACATTCTAATGTTCACCATTTATTTTTTATCCAATTGCAGGTGATTTATTGTATAATTTCCAATGCAATTGTTTACGTCTTGACCGACCAACCAATGGAACTGTGGAGATTTGGAGTATTCACTTCATTAGGATTCTTAATAATTATCGTATCTCAAAGTTTAGGTCTTTTAGTTGGAATTCTGTTCGACGTGGTCGTAAGTCAGCGTAATTAATGATCATGATTGTGTATTTAAAAGAAAAATTATTTTATATATAGAATGGAACATTCTTTGGGTCTGCAGTCGCGTGTTTTCAGCTGATTTTCGGCGGATTTTGCATAACTTACCGTGATATGCCTCACTATCTGAGTTGGTTCTACAACTTTTCTTTCCTGAAGTACGGCGCTGAGGGCATGATTGGCTCAGTCATGGGTTACGAAAGATCCGCCCTGCCATGTCCGAAATCCGATTTCTGCCAATACACGTATCCGGAGAAGTTCATCGACGATTTGGGCATCAACGCTAATCAGATTGAGTTGGATTTCGTGCTGCTGATCATCATGTTCGTCGCCTTGAGGATAATAATTTATCTAATACTGAAAATGAAATTAAAAAGAAAATCGTTCTGTGATCTTTTCTAGTTATTAAAGTTTATTTTTATATACACGCACTCTATTATTAAGCTATATTTAATCCACTTCCTCATCTCTCGCTAGATTTATACTTGTTATTAAACCTTGACGATATTTCCATGATGATATAAACATTAACTAAACATCTGTCTGTTATTTGCAATAATCTAATGGTATTTTCCGGATTTGATTTCAGTATACACTTAAGATTATCGAACGTTCTTAATTAACTATCATTATTTAATATAAAGATACTCGTTCAAGTTTGAAATTTTCCTAAAATAATGGGAATTAGTGTTTAGACAGAAATACTTCAATTGTTAGTTCATTGGCTCAAAGAAGGTCAAAATGTATACTATCTTATAGGATACATTCTTTTAGGTTAACCAAAATTAGTATATGTTCACCTAATATCATAAAACTAACTTCACGCGAAAATGCTGACAAATTTTTGGTTTTCTGTACATAAATACATTTGTTTTAAGTTTGCCTGGATTAGTTCCTGGTGAGTCTATGAAAATTTACTAAATTTAACTGAAAATGGATACAATTATTTGAAAATAGTTGTAATCGTCAAGAATTTGTTTTTCAGAATTAACTGACTTATTCATGATTTTTATAGAGTTGTTGTTTATTCCAGTTTAATTGTCTGTAAAAAAAACAAACGTGACTATAAAATTGTAGTTCATGGCATAATTATTGCTGAGTAACTAGTTGTTGTGTCCAACCATTATTATTGTAATTGTTATTATCAGTATAGTGTATTAACGAACTAGAGACATCCAAAGCGTCTCTTAGTCGCATTATTATATAAACATTAGCATAAAGGAATCTCTACCGTGATTCCAGTTCGATACACTTTAATATAAACAAAGGGGAACAAGCGTAAACATTCCCATCGATACTCCTATACCTTTATACAGAATTCAAGTCCTTATTATAAACACATAAAGATCGTTACATGTACAATCGTAATCGATCATATTTTTCATATAAACAAATGCATAGGAATTTGTCCCGGTCTTATAATAAACAAAACCACCGAGTCCGATTCCCGTGGGAACGCTTAGTCATCAATATAAACAAACCCTACTCCCGATCACAACTCCCACCCCGTATCAATAAGAATTAACTTTGTAAGTAATATAAGTATTTTAGAATTAGTCTCAGTAAAACCCTCAAACCCTCATGTAAAACCAATTGAATTATTTAATTCCAAACTACTGAGACTCCACAACGACAACACCAGACAATATTCCACTGTGTCCAGAATTCCATCCCTGGGACACGACATAGTTTTATTGGATATTCATATTGGTTTACAACCGTGGTTGCTAAACTTATTTGGTCTTCCGTCCCCTTTCCAGAAAAAATATTACTTAGCCTGCTGGAAATTATTTATTTTTAACTTTAATAGCAATTAAACAGTTTAACGAGCTTAATCCGTTCTAAAATTTCCGGTTTTTTACTCGTATAGTGAAACATATTCAAAAATACACACAATATGTGTTCACAAGTTTTTAAAATGTTGTAGTAGGCGCGCAATCCGAGACTTCTCTTCTCATCTTCACTCGTTATGCGAAACGTCGCTCGTTAAGCGAGGTTCCACTGTATATGTATTAATATTTCTACCGGCCACCTGGATCGCTGCAGCGCCCACTATGAGAATCACTCGTTTACAACGATGTAAGTAATTGTCGTAATAAATATGAATATGGCAGAAAGCCTATAACAGTTTTATTATTATATAGAGTTTTTTTTTGTGTTATTTATTGTTGGTATAAATATTATTACTATTGAGTATGATTAATCATCATAAAACTAATAAATGTAATAAAATTATTATTTCTTGATTTTAAAGCAAATCATAATTAAATACATCAAAACATGACATACGTTAATGTATCATTAATTAAAAATATTTCTTTATATACGATGTTTTACCATTACACAACTTGCATTTTTTAAAAGATTTTTTTAACGCTTTCAAATAATATTCCAACAAAAGTGCTTCGATTAATAGCATTGTTTTCAACCTTTAGTAACCTTTTCATTATAAACAATTACCGCAGCGGACTTAATTTACGATGATATTTAATTTTTTATATACTCACTTAATGTGCGTCGTAAATTGAAATTGTTGGAAGGTACTAAAAACGATTAGTAATTAAAATATTGTGAATTTAAATTAACTTTAAAAAACATAAAACAACAGCAGAGTTTGCAGATTCGCATATAAACATCAATTTATGATTATGTGATTTTTTAATACTTTCGGTTTTTTAGTCAATTACAAATTTTTCATTTTGTTCGATGATCTTTTGTCAAGTGCGATTTCAGATCATCATAATTAGTGAAAGTATTACCATGCTATCCTCCATACAGCCCTGACCTTTCACCATTGATATCACTTCCCATCCAAGCTACAATAATTTTCCTCAAGTTGTTGTGAGGATTTGCATATTTTTTTGCTAATTCAGGCTATTTTTCTTTGATTGCTTCTTCCAGTTTCATTAGTAAATTGACAGTGGATTGATCGTTTGGTTCCTTGGACTCAGCTCAAAATACACAATTCTTAAGAAAGATAAGAACTCTTGTTATTTCACTCTTATATTTTGTTTTGTCTGAATACGAAAATGTTATTGAGAAATAGCGAATTCAGAAATTTGTACAATTAATTAAAATATACGACTTTTTATCTTGTTGTCTTGTATAAACTGTATTCAAGATAAAGGTTATCGAATATCAAGTGTGCGTGCATATAATTATTTTAAAATATTGAGTGAAGTGAAAAGATCTGAGCGTTTTGTCCCATCGAGTTTCTTCAATGTTTACGTCAAATGTTTCCAAATGGTTTTCTGGCTAATCTTTAGTTCCTGGGCAATGGAATAAGTGCTCACATGTCGGTCCAACTCGACAATTTCCATGATTTTATCAACATTTTCGACGATTAGCCTACCATAAATGTCTCATCCTCGACGTCAATATTACCAGAAAAGAAGCGTTGGAACCAACGCTTTGCATTGCATTCAATACTGTATTGGATCCATAAGCAACACATTTTTTTTTGCCGCCCTCTAACACAAAACTGTCAAAGGACTTTTTTGCAACGTATACATCGTGAGATATGGCCACCTATTATTTTGGCCCAATTATGGGAACTTGATTTTATTGATGATTTAAGAAGAATGAGAATTAAAGTTCAGTTTAGTATCAAGTGGAAAATATCATTGACTTAATGATTTTGAAATATCAAATGATTTTTCTATAATCCGGTTTGAAAATGTCAAAACAAACTTTTTATTGGTTTCCTCGTTTAGTCCGGTCTCAAAAAAACTATCCGTACTATGCGAGGTATTGCAGTTTTTTGTTAAACATTATTATTAGTGATGAGTATTATTTGCTAAACCATAAATTCATTAAACTATTACCACAGAAAAATACCATTGAATACAAAGAACTGCAATTATTTAATCACAGTTTAATTTATATCTAGTATTCTTTATGCACGTTTGATTTATTTCATTATATTACTAACTTTAATTGTAGTCTTGCTATTTTTTACATACCTTTACGAAACGAGTATTATTTAATTTGACTACCGATAAAAAAAATAATGACCCAATTAAAAATAAATTATGTATCAATTATTGATGTTACATTTCTACACGATAATAGATACACACAGGTGCCCTGCTCGTTTCATTAAATTAATTTAGTAGATATAATATTAAAATTAGTCGTAAACAACACATTACAATAATCTTAAATTATTGTTTTGGACTTTGACCAGCATTAAGTACGAATATTTAGATGATTAGTTTGTTCAAAACATAAGTGGATTGCTGCACCATATTTTTTGTTGTTTTTCTTCATTGAAAGCTACAATAAAGTTAATTATTTTATATTAATTAAATCATTAAAGAAAAATAAATATTTTAATAAAAAAATGCTGCAAACTTGTTATTCTTGGTGATTCATCACAGAAGAAACATAAAATATTCATTTTCAATGCTTAAGAACTTTGATCCTTGGGTCCATGGTAAATCACGAATGAATTAAAAAAAAACTTATAATATGATTAGATTCTTGAGTATATGATACATGTGAAACAAGAGAATAGACGAGGTCAGACAGTAAATTTATTAATTATATAATAGCAGATATTTGTTAATAAATAATATATTTATTTTAATTTACCTCGCAGATTTGATTAATAAAAACATAGTTAATTTAACGTTAAATAAATTATTTATATGGAAAATTCGTATCCAATTTAAATGAAAATCTATATTTTATAAAATTATTTTCATTGCAAATTATTATTTTGCATAAAATTTATTTAATTTGAAAATTAAAATTTTAATTTTATAAATACGTACTTGGTAAAAACGATTATTATTTTCTACTTTAGAAAAAGATATTAAGAATTCCCCAGTCAAATGTGCATAAATTACAAGTCGTAATATGAAAAGCCATGATCTACGTTTACTTTAAAATGCATGCCAAATATTATTGTCTTGATTTTATATTACCAATTAACATTTTCTTGCAAATTACAAAAAAAATATATTAAATTTAACTTTGGTTTTGCATCGTAAAGTATACGAAAATGTGTCAGTAATGAATATCTTATACAAAATACATTTAGATTCAAAATACGCCACAGGGAAGTGATCTTGGACCACTGCTACACGGCAGATATTCCTAACACTAACAATACTAAGATTGCAACATTCGCTTATGATACAGCAGCAATCTTGGCATCAGATGAGAATCCAATAGTAGCATCTGAATGGAGAATAGCAGTTAACAAAATAAAATCCGTGCATATCACATTTACGCTAAATAAACACACCTGCCCAAATGTAAGACTCAATGGATAAGATCTGCCCATAGTAATAAAAGTCAAATATCTAGGCATGCATCTAGACAGAAGACTTTACTGGAAAGATCACGTTCAGTCTAAGAGGGAGCAATTATAAATAAAGTTTAGAAAACTCTACTGGTCGGAATTATCAGTTGAAAATAAATTACTTATATACAAAGTAATAGTGAAACCAGTATGGTATCCAATTGTGTGATGCGGCCAGTAAATCGAACATACAAATAATACAAAGGTTCCAATCAAAATGCCTAATAAATATTATTAGGGCTCCAGTTTGTCCAGAATAAGCAAATATACGAAGATCTTCATATGGATATGGTCGAGAATACAATAGCAATATTTGGTAGTAGATACCAAGATATACTGGAGTCATATACTAATGTTCTGACTATTTGCCTACTCGACAAAAGTGAAACCACAAACAGGCTGAAGCGCTGCAAACCACTAGATTTGGTATATAGATTTAAATAATTATCAGTGTTCAAAATCATCATAATGGTAACTATCCACCGGGAAAGCATATCCATTTAATGTCAACCGCGATCTTAACCCATGTGGATGCGCGCAGTGTTTAAAACATACCCATACCTAGAGTTAATTGTACTAACCGACTTGTTTTTAAAGTTACGTGTTACGTCGCCCCTCAGTAACTTCCAAATGGACTATTCTGAAGGCATACCTAAAATTATTCTATTTTTAGAGCAGTCACTGCTTGTCAGCTGTAGTATAAAGTACGCCAGGGTAAATTTTACCCATCGCGCGCGTCCCTACGTTTTATATGTGGCGCCGTGATTTTTGTAGTGACTGGTATACAGTGATAACTGATTGACTAATTTTGTGTTTGGTTTAGAATTTTTGGTATAATGGCTTCAAATGCATCTTCTTCGGAGACCCGCCCTCTAACTAATGTTGAACTGCAGCAACTAGCCGATTGTTTGTAATAGAATAAAGTAAATAATAGGAATATTTTGTGTACTAAATGCCTTCTAAAATATTTTTTTCCAAGAAATTGTACATTATAATTATATGAGATAGCATTTAAACTGATGTACTAGATAGTGGGTAAAATTTACCCTGCGCGCGTCTTCATGTAATAAGAATGCGCGCGGGTCCACAAGGGTTAAATTTACTCAATGTTCACATTGGTGAACAGATTGTGGATAAAATTATTATGACATCAAAAAAAAAAGATTCAACACAAAACGAGACTTGATTATAATCGGAAAAAAAAGATCATGTATTTATAAAAGCATAATTTGTGCACTCATTTTTGAATAGATTCTTTTGAAAATTTCAATCAATTTCAATTTAAATGTTTTGATTAATATGGAGACCGGTTTGGGTATTGGCGCTTTGCATATTTCGTTTCTGGGGTCAATGGTAGGAATTTTGTATTAATAGTTTAGGATGTCTGAGAAGAAGATGTTGAAGAGGCCCCTTCAACTCCGGAGTTGATTGTCAATGATGAAATTTTCAAACCGGACTATATTCTAAATAAGAAATATACTATTTAATTATAAAAACTTAATTTAAATGTGATATGTTTTTTTTCTTTGTTACACTAAAAAAAATGTTTATTCAACGCAAATTTCCCACGGCCTGCACTGATGAACAATTATATATGTAAATGATAATCTAAATTGTTTCTTTGATTGGTGATTCCATGAAAATTGATCTTTGCACTTCTTATCGGTTCTGTATTTATATGTCAATGCTATTATCATTGACGTAACTATTGATTTTTTATGTACAATAAAACGTGACGTGAAGATAAAAGTTACTTGATTATATTCAGAACTTCCTTAATTTTCTCATCAGAATAATTATATAAAAAAACATAATGATAAGATAAACAATTGTAATAATTGTGCAATTGAAGTGTTTATTAGTAATTTGTTATTAGAATCATTTATTTATAATAATTAAACATACTGAAATTGTTAAAATAATATTAAAAGTATTTTCATCAAGTTATTTATTAAAAATATGGCACTAAACAAGTCATATGCTGAAATAATGAATTCTCTAAATTTAAAGAAAGTCATTTCTGTGTTAACTCTTTGAGTGGCCAGAAATTCCTTAATTTCTAAACCCAATACATTTTTAGATAACTGAATCAGACGACTAGGTCAACTGAATCAACATTGGATGTTATGGCATATCAAAATTGATCCTATGACTTACCCATCAAATTAAATGATAATTCCTCTTTCCTGTACATTCTCTAGAAAATTATAATTTTATCTCACATACGTATCAACATGTGGTAAGCGTGTAAATATCAAAAAAACCATTCACAAACATTCAGTTGCACAATTTAGTCGTGATTTTGGACAATACCAGCCTTTATGTTTCTTTTACACTACAGTACAAACAATGTTGGAGTTAGACTGAGTTGTGTTACTCCACTCGTAGTATGAACATTCAGATTTCCAATTATTCATGTCTTTGCAAAAAAACGTTCAATCGATATAAAAAAAACCAGCAGGAAAAGTTTTATTGACGTGCGAAATATGACGAAAGGTTTTTGATCAAAATGTTCTATACATAATTAAAAATTTATATATCGATATAAAAAAGTTTTGATTTTTAATTCTCGACAAAAATCGAACTTTCCGGACAACTCTGATTAGAAACGATGATTTAGTATAATTAAATCATGCAGTTTGTGAACTTTTTACAAAGATTAAATCCGATATTCATTTTTCTTTTGCAATTCGATATAATTAAAATTATAGTCGATTCAAACATTGAGATAACTATTGATAAGAACTTTCATAAACTAATTATATTTGATATTATTCTTCATTAATAAGCAAATCTTATCTTTTTTTATTGCTTTTAAAATTAATAAAGGAAATAGTTGAAAAAAATCGAAAGAAAAGATTATTAAGAAAAGTAAACTGACCGCCCGATTTTATTCGTTATAATTCATTATTATTTCATATTCCAATAAAAAATACTGCTGACAATTCCTCATATACAGGGTGCGACAGAAATAACTGCCACATTTCAAAGGCGGATTGAGAAAAAATTATTTCCCAAATGTAGATAGAAAAAGTTATATAACTGAAAATTTTATCCACCTAATAGAACTCTGCCACTTTTGTGATGTGGGAGTTACTCCTGCCGCACCCTGTATAATTAATTTTAATTAACTAATTAAGTTTTATATTGTTTTCCTTAATTTACAATCTTAATGAAGCTATGGAAAATTATGTTAAACCAATACAAAACATAATATAATTATTAGTGTTAAACTTAGTGTATATTATTTAGATTTTCTCATCAATTTATTATTAACTTATGTCAATTGTTTTTAATAATAGGCTTATTCAATGAGACTTAACGAAAACCAACCCAACCTACATATAATTTGTAAAAATATATCTATCACTCGTTTTACACGTTTTTGCTTTTACACAGTTTAAATTAAAAAATAAATGTGAAAAATAACCTATTTCTCACTTTACATGGAACTTTCTTTACACGTTTTCACTTTTACACGGTTAAAAAAATATATTAAAAAATAATTGTTGAAAATAACTTATTCTATGCTTTTTTTTGCATACTTTTCAATTTACACGTTTTTCACAAGAACCTATCCACCGTGTAAATGGGGGTATTAAGTTTAAATTATATGAAATTATATGAAATCATAAATAATTGATGCAATAAATTAGAGGAAAACCTCCTAGAAAAATACAGATATCACTATTATCGATCAGAGATATCGATAAGAAGTGCTCACATATATTGCATAACAAACATATCCGGAATTTGATAAGATTTGTTTTATCTAAGAGAATGCGATTGTGCGTTGATTGCACAAGTTGGCAGTTCATACAAGTTGCATCCTATCGAAAAATAACGTGTTGTGTTCATATATTCTTTTTCAATAATATAATCTATTTCTTGCGAAAAATACGCAGAATTGGTATGGCTTCAAGGATTTAGTATATAATGTTTCTTAGGCATACCCGAGTTTTAAGTGAATCCTTATTGCAATTTAACCTTTGTGCAGGTGTAGAAAGAATATCAAGTGTAAATAATTGAAAAATTGACAAAAGGAATTCAGGTATACAGAAGACATACCTTAGAAAATACCAAAGACCGATTGCTAGTCTACTAAATCCATCCACTGTGTATAATTGTGGAGGGGAACGGCAACGACTACGTCCGGTAATGCGTATTTTGAGAGAGATATACCTCGAACTTGCCGATTACTTCGAGCGCAGACAAAGCGTGGAATCAGTATCGAGTGGATCGTGGATGCGTTAAAAGGCTTGTTTGTGTTTCATTATTAAAATTGTTCAAAATCCAAAGATGAATGGGTCCAGCAGCCGCGGAGTTACCATAGACTTTTCCAATCTGACAGTTTCCGTGAAGACAGGACAAACCAGTGAGTGTATATCTAATTGCAAATAAATATGAACAAGATTTCATTGGAACAATAAAGAAATGTAATTATTCCGATAATTTTTCGGAAACTTATATACTTTAGACATATATAAAATTAAAATAGATTTAGTTAATATTTATCATTTAAACAAACAAAAATGTGCGTAATTTCTAAAAATAAGTAGAAAAACAAATTCCTAACATAAAATTTGTTTGCAAATATTAATAGTTCATTTAATTTTTATGATCCATGTGAAATTCGAATCAAATATTGCAATTAAATTTTACATAAAAAAATTGTTATTCATGTTCATAACAGATAAATGTATACGAATTAATTTATGGTTCTATAATTATAGATAAAAAATACAATTGTAATTTACATAATATTACAAAAAATATTTACATAATCTCTTCTCTCATAAATATTAAAAAAGAAACAAAACTTACAAATAAATTAAATACTTTAATTTTCATGTTCAAGATAGATTCAAATTTAAAGAGTATCAACTTTTTGTTTACATAAATATTGTTTGAATGTAATTTCAAGGACACACTAAAATAGATTTCGTAGAAGATGATATGTTCTTCATAATATGAATGTTATTAGAAAACAACGGTAAACATCAAAACGAATACGCAATTGTATATAGAAATGAGTGCATCTGTTTTACTAAAAACTTTCTGCTTCGGCGGAGAAAATAGAAAGTTCTGTTCATTCAGTAAAAGAGAATTGCTCAATCGTAGTAAGATAACTGTTTCCATACATTTTTGTTTGTAAATAAAAAAGGATTATTATCATTTCTAATATTTAGTTGACAAAATTGTATATAATAATTTTAAAAAAAATACTTAGTTTATGTATGTTTACGACATTACTTAAATAAATCATAAAATTCTACCTGAATATTATATTTAAAATTGCTATAAACATAACATCATTATTAAGAAGACGAAATATTAATTTATAATTGAATTAATATTATTTTTACATTAATAAAATATTTGTAATTTATTTGAGATTAAATATACTTTCGATGATAAATTTCCACAAACATCAAATACAGTTCAAATCGATTATAGAAATATATATGCTAATTCATTTTTTTGCATTGAAACTCCTTGAGTGAAAATAGAAAGTTTAGTTCATTTACCACAAGAAAATTTCTGAATCGTAGTAATCTGGATATCACAAAACATTTACTACTGATTTGGATACCAAATTGCCAAGAATGTTATAAATATATTTAGTTTCATATACATATATGTAAATGTTATTGTATATATAAGAAACTATTGCAACAAAGCTTAAAAGTACTTACAATTAACGTTTAATATGTAGTATATAAGGATTTAAAGAGAGTAATCAAGGAGACTTAAGATGTTTAAATTATGTTCAAAGTTACGCAATGTGCACATTATTCAACAAATAAATGCGAGGCTGAGACGATAAAAACTAACAATTTAGTATTAAATAACAACTATTAAAATTCCATGTTAGTCACTCTGACACGCAACAACATCTGTATATATATTTTTTAATTTTTAAATGGAATTCATAGAATGGCCATGATTTAATAACACTTTTAAAAATTAGGGTTTACTAAATTTGACAACATTCCGTACAAATAATATAAAGTAAAACTTTTTTATTTTTTAAGAATTTATTGTCATTAAGTTATATAATTGTTGTTGACATAAACATTGCTGTAATTTTTGTATTTTTTGAAGATTTTGTATGGAAGTTTAAATTGCACCGCAAACGAATTACAACAATACCTCACATCCCTCATCAAATAACAATAAAATATAAAAAAAAGAGACAAGTCTCTTTTCTATACTGTTTATTTATATACGGTATTAAAGTCCTTGATTACTGCAGTTTCAAACAGTGCGGGATATTGGCGGAACTATGCTTGAACAATGCCTTGGTTTCCGAATAATTTAGTTCTCTGTTGTTATGCCAGCAAAGTCGAGGGCATTTCATACAAATTACCAACGTGTCTACGATTTATAATTCAATTAAAATTTCAGTATTTTCTCAAAAAAAAAACAGTTTTATTTAAAATTTAGATTTTCCACTCTTGTTAGGTCACCGTATAATAAATATTGTTATAATTGTTGTATTTTTTAAGAGTTTATTATAAACTTTTCACAAATAAATTGTTAAAAAGTATTTTTTTTATACTTATTATTGTCTTTTTCCTTCGGTAGACTAAAGTCTATTTTTTGTGCGATTTTAAAGTCCTCGCTTAGAGCGGTTTCAAACAGTTTGCGAAGTATATCAATTTTACATGATTTGTTGTTAGGATTTGAATGGATTTGGTTTTCGAATAATCCTATTTTTTTTAACAACCGAGTCGAAAATGTACATTTAAGAGGTTTAGTGTGTAACGTGTTAATAATATCAAGTATCAAAACAAATCGTCTAAATTCTACTAAATTTTCATAAAACTACAGAAATTCTATAATTTCCAAATCATCAATTTGTTCCAAAATTCCTACAAATTGTTAAACTATCGGAATAACATTGGAATTTCCTTACAGAGTCCAATATTTTTTTTATACTTTAAAAGCATTTTTGTTTTTGCAAAAAAAAACTAGTAATTAATTTATCTTTAATGATATAAGAGTTTTTAATAATTAAATTTTAAACGACAATGATTTGTTTTTAATTAATGATTAAATTTTTAATGACTATTCAAAATAAATACATCTGTCGAGGAGGAAAGCGAAAAATAGTATTTGAGAACAATTGTAAAAGATCCATTGACCTTTCCGTGAATCAAATATTATAAATATATCGACCAAATTCTTATAATTTTAAATTTAGTTAACCGATTCTTAATAGAAGTGACATTTAATTATATATTTATGCGATGTTGTCAAGCAGATTTTATTTATCAAGTTTATCGTAATAATTATCAAAATGAAAAGTAATACATTTCTTATTTGTTATATAAATATACACCATACGGTTTAAGCACTCAAGACCTGTTCTTTTAAATTTAAATGCAATTATTTTTTATTTGTGAATAACAACACTTTCTTGATTTTTGGTAAATTATCTGAAATAATGAGGCCAATGGCACCGCTTAATTGATAATGTACTTGTTTACACAACATTCTGCAAAATGTGTTAAAAATGTTACTTGTTTTTTAACATATATACTATAGATTAAATAAAGCAACAAAGATATCAATAAAAAAAATACGTTGCATTAAGTCAAGAATCGATAACGACTTAAGTTTACCAATTAAAATAAATGTCGGGGTAAATAAATATATTTTGGGGTAATACGTAAAAAAGTTCCTCAACAAAAAAGTTTAACAGCAATGTTCCGCACTATTTAGACTTTATTCAAACTATTTTTTGTTTGCATTGCATAAATATTGGCCATTCCTATAATTTTTAATACAAATAATTTGTCATCTTTCATTTGCTATTAGTCATTTTTCTAAGAATAATTTCGCATAATTATGAATTTTTTTCTTTAGATTCTTATAAACGTAATAATAATATTGTACAAATATACACTCTTTGTTAGCTAAGTTAATATGTTTTTTTCCAAATGCAATTACAGATACAGTGGAACCTCGCTTAACGAGGAAAACCTGTGTACACATATTATGTGTATATTTCATGTTGTTTGTGATGCAAAATTTAATAAAAATTGCAAAATCATTGAACATCGAGACGAAGTTATGGAACGCATTATCCTATTTTATATTAGTTGCATATGTTTCACTATACGAGTAAAAATCCGAAAATTTTGGAACGAATTCTGCACGTTAAGCGAAGTTTCTCCGTATTTAACTTATGGTATAATTGTAATTAATAAATTTTCTATCTGTGAACAAAAAAATATAAACAATTTGTTATTATTACAGAAAGATTAAATAATTATCTGCATTCTTACTAATATCTAAGTTTGCATATTGATTTCCTGTTGCGAGTTTAGATTTCCTATAAGTTCTACAGATATTTCTGTAGTCCGAGGTGTTCGGATCAGTCAATATCCAGGACTAATCGAGAACTTTAAATTATATAAAAGACATAACTGTATATAGGATCATATATATCTAAATAAATTATTCTGTGTTATATTTATCATATCATATCAATTAAAATTCATTTTTTTTTTCGTTTTTTTTATACCGAACTATAGTAATAATATTATAAATACATACATTGATTATGTACTATACTAATATAGTTAATAAAATTAAAATAAAAAAACAATTAATATGTAAAAAAACTGTTTTGAATATCTAAGTTTGGTTTCTAAACATTCCAAGAAACGAGAATGGAAACGCATTTGCAAGCTGTTTATAATTGAAAATACAAACAAGAATAGTTATTTACGTTAGCAGTTTAGCAAATTTTTAAATAGTGATTTAATGAAATGTATAAATTACATCAACAAAAAATACTGAAAAGTAACTTCATGATAAACCTTACAATGATAGAAATAAATATAAATTGGGTATTTTATATCCATATTCATGTAAAAGAATTGTCATGAAGAAGTCGTCATAGTCAGAAGTTGTAATATCAGATGAATATGGTGGATGTTGCAGAAATTCTAAATCAAGCTCACTTATTTTGCTGCGTGAGGTCTTGAATTATCATACTAAACAATTCGTATCTGATTGTTCACTAAAACTGAACATTTTTTAAGCAGTTCTACTTGTAATCTTACTAATTGGGCATAATACATCTCTGCTGTGTAACAGTGTGACCAGATTTTAGTAATTCATATTCCCGAAATATCTCACCAAACTACGGTGAAAAGCTTTTTCAAAGTCAATGGAATGTAGAAGATACATATGCCTCAAGAAACTTATTTTTGTTTCCCTTCGGATTGTTGTAGAGGACCTACTTCTCAACACCAGTAACAATTGTTCTAAGAAACCAATCGGTTTCATATCTGCACAACAGAGATGAACAGATGATTATTCGTTGTTCTAACCCAAATTTTGTCTACTTTTAATGCGATGTACTTTGTTTATTATTTGTTTATATTTTATCAGTGTACTTTGGTCATTGGATCAATCTGCAATATTGTTTATTTCCTTTTTCTATAGCTTGTTGAAAATAATTAAAAAAAAAAAACTTTATTTTCCAAGTTTTTTTCAAATAATTTTTCACTGAAAATCATCATCTGTATTCAATAAATTTCTAACTTTATTTCATCTACATTTTTTAAATCTATTGAGAAATGAATAACTTCATTTTTAATTGCTGAATTAGAGAAGTTGTGTTTGCTGGAAGAAATTGCTGATTTCGTTAAATCAAAGTCTCGTAAACATCAATGAATGCAATTGTTACTAAATAATTGTCGAAATCAAACATATTAGTTTAATTATAACAAATAAAAGCTGATTACATTTACTTCACCTTAAATACATATTTTTTTATTGTTTACGAGAAAAACTTTCTCCTAAGTACCAAAATAAAATTAAAGCAATATTACGACTCGATTTACGCAACGCGCAATTTAATTTTTGTTGTAGTGCGTTCTCAGTAATAAATGAAGAAAGCGCCGAATGTGCAAAACTACATATTATTTTATAGAGCATGTTCAATCTCACAAACACTTGCAACACTTTTTTTTACTGATTTTTCACCGTTACGAAATAAATTCATGCAATTTTATGGCAATAAACAATTATTTTCTTATTTGTACTTCTTGTTAATAAAAAAAAAATGTCGGTTTTTAATTAATTGCACAAGTTTCAAATTACGATCAATTAAAAAGTATGATAATTGTGTGTTTCTTTTAAAATTAAATCAAAGTTCATAACTGTTGATTTTTTTTAAATATTTGTCGTACTTTTGATAATTAAATTAATAATACGTAACAATCTGGTTGATCGATAAATATTTTTTGTTTGTTAGTTCATTTGTTGTTGCAATTAAAAATAGAAAATTAAACAATCTTTAAATTGTTAATCTTCCTGATAACTAAAGCATAATTATTATGTCTCTAGTAATAATAATCAATCTAAAAGTATAGATATTGTATCAATTTATCTGTTTATGTACTAATTAAGTTAGTACTTTACCGATTTATTAATAATAGCATGCAAAATTTTATGGAAATTTTTAATTTCTACTATGAAGACATAAAATGTTATGATTGAATACATCTATACTTTGTAGAGGTGCGGCTTGGATCTATCTGGATTTACTTATGTTCGGTTTTATTAAAAAGAACTGATTCTTAAATGAGCAAAATAAAAAAAAAATCTAAAAAAATTATACAAAACATGTACATATTTTTTTGTAATTAGTGATTAGTTAAGGATATTAGCTGAATCGATTACCCGCACTATGCGAGGTATTGCTATATTGTGTTTATACTGATATAATGACAGTTAATAACAGTTATTGTAACAAGCTTAATATTAAATAAATAATTACAGATAAAAAGTGTTATTTGTACTTGAAATATCGATTATTTTATAAAATATTTCATTTACACATATTTTACGTTATAATATACAAGAAACTTATATTAAAATGCATTCTTCGAGTAATTTATGTCTGTATTATTGGACGAATTTTACTATAGGTTACATGAAAAGTAAAATTGATCGAAAGTATGTATACAGCAGTGGTTTCCAAACTACGCCTCCCTTAAAAATATTTAATTATTTCGCCCCCATCCATTTCATAAAATAGATTTAGAAAAGTGCTCACTGTAACTAATATTCGCACCCTTAGACTAGTCCGCCCCTCATTCGGGAGACGCGCCTCATAGTTTGTAGAAAGCTGGTCTACAGTTTTTTTTATAAATTGAGACTGAATTAAATGTTTATATTTGATAAAGGATGTGCAGATAATATGTTTGTTTACAAAATAATCTAGCAATTATCACTTTAATTATGCGCGTGTGACTCTAAATGTTAAGCAATAAAAGAACTTAAATAATCCAAATCAAATTATTTTCAATATTAAAAATTTGATGAAATAATTTATGTATTACCAGTGAATATAATCAAATGTAACCTAATACTTATAATAGCAATAAAACATATATTTCAATTATGAGCCGTTAGATTTGGAAGTGACCTAAGTCTGTTTCAATAAAAACATTGCGCCCTTAAGTTGTCGAGGAACTTTAGGAGTTAAGCAGAGAGAAGTATTAGTATAATTATTAGTTCGGTAGTTTAAGTAAGACTGTGAAGTAATATAGTGTAAGCGATGTATGTAAGATGTAGTAAATAAACGCCATTTTGAAACCCCAACGACTTTCTTCAATTCACCCGCACAATTTGGTCCTTCGTCGAAAACATTGTTGTTTAGTTTTAACATAACGTATTATATAAACTATTAATGTACTTTATTATAACTAATAAGATACTACAGTTAATTAATTTGAAGGTTGATCATTGGACCAATTTTTCAACTTTGTTCAGTGTATAAAAAAAGATTTATTATAAAATTTGAAAGAGATCAAATCCATTCAACATAGTTTAAAATGCTTTAAATTGAGATAACACCACTCAATTTATTTTTTCTATTTCTTTACACACAATTTGTGCAATTTTAAGCGAAGTATTCTCATACGTTGATATCTTAGAACATTTTATATGGTTAATTTCTCAAAAAAAACGCATTTTTTTATTAATTTCATATTTAGAACTGCGTTCTCCAAAAATGTTGTTCATATGAAATCCTATTGTTTCATTTCATTTAGAATAAAGTTATTACATTTTTGGTCATTGCCTTCAGAAATTTGAAGATACACACTCTAATGATACACATAATTTGAAGATACACACAATAATGAAGTGGACTTAGGTCACTTTCAAAATATTGTTTTTAATTATTGAACTTAGTGAGAAAATTGATGATTTCAAAGTTATCATATATATAATTATTGTTTATGATAGCTAACATCAAATTATAATATATTTTGTTTATGATTATTCAATCAAATCATATTGCAAATCATCAGAGTCAAGTTGTTTTCAACTTCAAATTACGTAAAATTCATAAAATATTATGAAATAATTTCAATACAACTGTTAATTATTACTTATTTGTTAAGAAAGCATGCAAATCAAATTGCTTTCAATTTTATATTATGTAAATTACATACAGTTTTATCATTTTTTTTATAGTTCATCATATATAATAAACAAACTACATATCAATGCATATGTAAGTAAAATATCAATGTCAAGTTATTTTCCATTTAGAATTACTTAAATTAAAAAAAATGTTATGCAATATTTTATTTATATATTTCCAGTATATATAATTAAATTTAACTTAATAATTACAAGAACAATATAAATATACTAAAAAAATGTATGTATTTATATTTCTAGTAAATATTAAGAGCGTTAAAGTATAAAACGTCCGATTTCGTACTGAAAGTTTGGATTATTAAATCACAAACAAGAAGCAGTATAAATAACTAAAGTTTGCACCTAAACTATAAATACAATTTTACCATTAAGCTTGTTAATACCAGCATTGAAGAAGCCTCAAAAGCGAGTGATTATAATAAATATCTCGAAAAGCGAAAAATATATTTTTTATTTGAAAAAGCTTCTATTTTTTCCATTTTTTTTTTCATCGATATATAAATAAAGTTATATGAAGTAAATACATACAAAAATACATTTTAATTGAAAATTTTCAATCCAATTATAGTGTATCCGGACTAATCGAAGCAGCACTATACGAGGTATTTGATTATTTTCAGAGGAATACCGCACACGTTGTTTAAGCATTTGATTATGCTAATCAAATGCACAGACACGCAAACATAATACGAGAGTTATTACAAAAATAGACGTGCTAAAACTTGACAACTACCAGACATTTGTCCGGTTCTATGCTCATCGGATCTAAATGCAAATCACAACAATCAACAGTCATGTTGTTTTTTTTTTTCTTTATTTTTATTGCAGCACTGAATTTGCAAACAAGTCGGAAGCAAATATAATCTTTTACACAACCTTAGCTCTTTTTTTTTTAAATATTTAACGTTTACTTTAAAAACAATTTAAATAATGTACACAAAGCATATGCAAACTCGAGTCACACACTTTTTGTTCGTAATTGCAAAACCATGCATTTACTAATAGATAACTCAAAAGCTAAAGAGGAATTCATGTTTTTAGAAATTTATTGAACATTTAAAAAATGTAATATATACTAATTATATTTTATAAATAATTATGTTAATCGATTAATTACAACAAATGAATTACTTTCCTTTGTAAAGTACTTTATTTAGCTATCATCATAATTTTCATTTATAAATAGAATAAGTACAATTAATCAAAAATATCTCGCATCTTCTTCAAAATAGGTTTTTGTAAATACATTTATACTTATATATTTTGTTTCATTCGCTAGATTTGATTTGATTCGAATCTTCCATCCTCTACACACAATATAATTCTTCTTTGTTTAAGTATTACTTGTAATAATATACATATAGAATCTCAATAGATTTAGAAATAATTTTGAATAACGATCGTTAAAAAAATAGAGTTTCTTTTTTCTTTCTATCTCTCTCCCTTTTGCTTTTTACGAAGTTTTCAACCGAAAAAAAAGTTCTTTTCTTAGCCTTGGCAACTTGAATTTCGATCAAACTACTTTGTGAAAATTTTCGTAGAAATCAATAACAAAGGTGTAATCAGATTATTCCTATATGCGATTTTAATTTATATTTTAAATAATAAAATTATTGCCTGTGCGAATTAATTAACTATTTTTTCAACAAAATGTTAACCTTTATGCCAAAAATTTATAAAGTTAGTTTTAAGTTCAGCTCTGACTGGACCGGTTTTTAATTCGTTTTATCGAATTACATAATATTATAAAATCAATTGCATTTTGTTATTATATAACCAATTCCAACAGCATTTTGAAAATATAATCAATCCGGTTTGAAATTTTGTAATTATGTATTCCAATTGCATGAAAATACCATTTAAAATGTGTTTTTTTTTAATTATTTTAGAAACCAAAGAAATTATCCATGGAATCGGCGGAACGTTTGCGTCGGGTTCCTTGATCGGAATCCTGGGACCTTCGGGAGCCGGAAAATCCACCCTTCTGAATGCCCTCAGTGGATTCAACACTACGGGTATGAAGGGCGACATTATCATTAACGGGAAACGCAACAACATGCAATGGTACAGGAAGAGGTGCAGCTACATACCGCAGGACAACGATCTGCACCATTTGCTGACGGTGGAAGAAAACATGAAATTCGCTGCAGATTTGAAACTTGGAGAGACCGTCGACAAAAAGACAAAAAACAAAATGGTATGATTACATCCAATATATCGAATCACACAATAAACTATTTATCTTGTTTAGATTAACAGTATTTTAGATACGTACAGCTTATCAGAAATTAAAGACACGCCAACATCGAAAATATCGGGCGGACAAAAGAAGAGGCTGTCCGTAGCTTTAGAATTGATCAGTGATCCAATGGTAATGTTCCTGGACGAACCGACAACGTAACATTGAAATATCGCTGAAAATCTTGCACACCTAATTTCGGAATTTTCTTTTCCCAGAGGTTTGGATAGTTTCACGAGCAGCCAGTGCATCGAAAACTTGAAGGAACTGGCAAATAAAGGGAAAACTGTAGTTTGCACGATACACCAGCCGTCGGCAACCATCTTCAAACAATTCGATCACGTCTACATCCTTTCTGAAGGCAGATGTCTGTATCAAGGAGGAACGGAAAACATGCTGAAGTTCTTGGAAGAGATAGGAATGCCTTGCAATTTATTCCACAATCCTGCAGATTTTGGTGAGTATTTCACATAGATCTCAAAGATGTAAACTTGATATAAATTATTCTTATCACAGTTCTGGAGTTGGCGAACGGCGAGTACGGATCTGATAAAATTGACATGATGATTAAGTATTCGGAAAACGGAGGGAATCGAAGCTACATGGACAAGTATATTGAAGATGTAACAAACGGTAAAATACAAGTTTAAAAGATATAATTGAATTGTTTACTTAAGTTTGTATGATTTCAGGTGTATACCAACCTCTTTCAGGTGATCTACATTTTCAGAGCAACACGTACGAATTGAAGACTCTATTTCGGAGAGAATTTGTTAAGTTGACTAGGAATTTGGTAGGATAAATATGATTTACTTTAATGAACTTGTTCATTGTTTTTTTTTAGTCATTAACCTACCTACGTATTTGCGCGACGATAATAAATGGATTCATGATTAGTTCCATCTATTGGAATTTAGGCGAAAACGCTTCCAAGATTTGGTTCAACTATAATCTCGTACTTTGCATAGTTATAAACTTGGTCATGTGCGGTATAATGTTGACAGTTATAGTTTGTAAATAGATTAATTACGAAAAGTGATTATATTTAAAATTAATTATGATCTATTTTTAGTTCCTATGGAACTCGGTATACTCCAGAAAGAACACTTTAACAGATACTTTCGATTAAGGAGTTACTACATTGCGATAACTATATTGGATTTACCGATCTCTGTATGTATTGGAAGTGTTACAATATTAAAAACATTTAATTATTTATGTTTTTTTAAAGATATTTTCAACCACAGTATCGAATTACATCATACTATATTTTACTGCGCAACCAATGGAGATGAATAGGGTTCTCATGGTTTTGTCTTTTGGTATTATGGTTGGGCTAATCGCTCAAAGCATTGGTTTACTATTAGGAAGCTGCTTAAATCTCAGAGTAAGTTACAAACATTCAACTTAAAATTATGGTTAAAACTTACATTTTTTTTTGCAGAACGGAGTTTTCGTTGGATCGTATGTCCATATGCCCTTGATGTTGCTGAGTGGCTTTGGTTTACTTGTGAAAGATGTACCGTCATACTTCAACATCATTGGATACATATCTTACATGCGATACGCAGTGTCCGGTATGAATGTAGCCATCTACGGTTACAACAGGAAGAAATTAGAATGTCCTGATGATGAGTTCTGCTATTACACGACCGGAGCATCGTTTCTGAAAGAAATGGAGATTAAAGACCATAGTTTTTGGACTGACTTTTCATGTATGATCGCTATTTACTTTGGCTTAAGGATCGCAACGTATTTTGCCATAACCAAAAGGTTACCAAAATAATGTTCCAATTATTGTATTTATTTAAATATCTGTAAAAATTAAATATTTATAAAGATTAGTCGTTTGAAAATGACTTTCACTTTTAACAGAAATGAGTGAGTTTAAAATGTAAATGCAAAAAGGTGATATTCTCATAAACAAGAAAGTGATGCAGTTGGATTCTTACCAAGCCAATGACCTTTATCCTTCGCTAAATCTGTTTAAAACAATGTTCGTGACCGTGATGAAGTTCATTTACATAATAGAAATAAAGATGAATAATATAATTAATCATTTCAAATGTCTCTGTTTATTATTGACTAACAACTAATTTATTTAAAAAAAAATTTTTTTGGTTAAATATATGCGTAATTGTACTTAAACCGATCTTCTGAAAAAAATAAAAAGTTAGTTTGTTTTCTTAATAGCACACATTCCATCACGTAAGATGTTTACAAATATTAATCCAACGTCATTCAATAGTGTAAACAAAGCAAGACCGTTTTAGAACAATTTGATGCGTTGTTTAACTAGCATGAATACCAATCACGTTCGACTTTTGCGAATATTATTCAAAAGTAGTCACTAATGGTAATTATTCTGGATCAATGTTAATTTTTAATGCTTTTGATACCACATATGTTTAGTTATACAATCAATTTATTGGATGTAACTTTTTTTTAAAAGCAAATTTCTGCTGCGAAAAAACACGAATTTCCTAAATATATCATTTATTTTTTTGGCATATTTGTTATTTCCTATCAAAATTATCATTATGTAAATATATTTGTCGATTTCATGGACTCAAGGATTTGTTCAAAACTGGCTTCATCTTAACATAATTAGACGTAAAAACAACATTATATAATGTCGACCTTCAATTTTAATTATAATTAAAAGTTGTAATCGAAAAGAAGAAAAACAACTAAAGCAAAATTAATAAAATATTAATTAGGAAAAATATAGAAATACTCCAACTCCAAAATTAAAATGATTTCTAAAAATAATAACAAGAAATTAAATTTAATACAAAAAAAAAGGAGCAATTGTAAAAAGGATAAGATTATAAGGACATTAGGAATTTGAATAGAGTACAGAGGGATACTTTAATCTAAGATGAATATTTGGATTACGAGGGATATAGAATTTAGTAAGGGAAGAAGTGTTGAATTCTTTGGATATTAATTTAAGGAATCTGTCGAGGAGAGGAACAATTTAACAAACAATAACCATTCAAGTTATGTTTTGTTTTCATTGGAATACATACATATTCGCTTAACGAACGACGTTTCGCATAACGAGTGACGATGAGAAGTCCCGGATTGCGCGCCTGTTACATCATTTTTAAAACTTGTGTACACATATTATGTGTATTTTTGAATATGTCACTATACGAGTAAAAATTCGGAAATTTTGCAACGGTTAAAACTAGTTAAGCGAGGTTCCACTTTACTTAAAAAAATATTGTGATATTTTTAGTATTAATCTTCTGATGATGGATAATATGTAAACATGAACTGATGTTGTAGTGGAAGTATTTATATTTATAAATATTCTCTATAATTATACAATTGATGATGAATAAATATTGAAAAGTGTAGGAGTTTAGTAAAAATAATACTGAGGAATTTTTTTAAAATTATTATAGGCAACCACATGTTAAATATTTTTCGCTTGGTTGTCTACATCATAAATCTGATCAGGAATTCTTATAAAAAAAACAATTTATATATGAAAGAGCAATGAAAATAATGCATTAATTTTTAGTCATTACATTTACAGTCATGCCTCGGTTAACGTTACCTCTGTTATCAGTTTCGTAATGGCAGAGTCCATAATTTCAAGCAAAAGTTGCAATAGAACTGTTAAACATTACGACCCACTTTTTAGAAATTCAATCTATACCCAATATATTTTTTTAACACTTTTGATCATAATCATAAGGTGTTGTTAAACGATCAGTTTAAAATGAAATAACTCCTTACAAGCAATTGTGAAATGAAATAGAAATAGAAGGACAAACAGTCAACGTTGTACTTCTATTATAAATTGTGATTTTATTATGTATGCTACTTGACTGTTTCTTTAGTAAAACTTTTTTTGTTGGAAAATCAGCTTTAATGTTCTTTAGAAAGGACCCATGATTAAAGTACGTTTACCCCTGAATTCGAAGTTTCGCTTAACGAAATAATTTTGTGAAATACATCCTATTTCTTGAGGTATGACTGTATATTTCATTACAAAATAAAGTTTCCAATCGCATTTTTATTATTGTACTTTAATTGCAAGAATTAATTATAAGTATGTTATTGTATGATTTATATGTTGATTTACGGCAATATTTACTTAATTTATAATTATTGATGAGACAAGGTTAACCATTGAATATAATAAGGTGCGAAGGAGCCTGATATTATTTAAATAATGTTTATATAAATAGCAAATAAACCTAGATACATAGATATTTAAATAAATAATGTATTTTCAAAAAGTATAATATCAAAGATTAATATAGTTTCAATATTGACAAACATCGCAATTGTAATACAGGTATCCTCTGACTTACGAATTCCCAGACTTACGAACAAAATTCTAAAAGCTCTATCTTGTTTCAAGTATATATATAAAAAAATAACTTTCCAACAAAAAATGATAATTTCTTTAATAAAATATACTCCCTCTGTTCGAAAATATACATTTGAAAGAAAATCTTAGATTATCTAGAGTTTCGAAAGCATCTGGCAATACTCATTATATTGGTATTCTTTACAATGATAACTAAATATCCTAACATAAGTAGTAGTCCTAAGTAGTTGAAATTTGAAGATCAAAAATTAGTTTTTTTTAAGAAAATTAGTCACCGCTGGAATTTCAAAACGGAAAATTTTAACCCAAATGATTCAATCACTACAACATGAAACTACGCCAAACACGATTGATGAATTAATTGAATGTGTTCAAGATGAATTGAATAAACTAGAGAGCAATACTCTTGATAAAGTCTTTATAAAATTACAAACTTGTATGGAATCAATTATGTTAACAGTAGGGACCAATTCACATAAATTTCCTCATATAAATAAGGTAATGATCGATGAGGATCGATTAACTAAAAGGTATATATTTTCAAAAGAAGCGTTCAACAAGGCTAAATGTCACTTTAACTAAATTTGGATTACACTAAAATTATTTGTATTTAGTTATATTGTGAGAATAAAATGAATTGGGCAGAAATGTAATGTTTTTGGAAGATGTACTATCTATTTTGTTGCAGTTGTTCCTTTTGTCGTTTTTATTAAATAATTGTGATGTCTACATTGAAAAGTTTTTGTAAGTAACTATTTTATTTATTTCAGTCTACTTTTTCAAATTTTGCAGTAAGTAATACGAAATTTAACACATATAAAAGTAAAAACCATGATAAAGTGTGGTAAGATAAGTATAAATTAAAATTCCCCCGACTTACGAACAAATTCGACGTTCGTAAGTCTTTGGAACGGAACTAGTTTGTAAGTCGGGGGATATCTGTATTTATATTATTTATACAATATCCTAACATTACGTGTAAATTGTGTTGCCTACATACATAATCAAAAAAAATATAACATACTTCATTATTTAACTTGGCTGGCGAAATTGTGCAAGACGCGCAAGCCAAGTGAAGTGTGGAGAGGAAGGAAGAAGAAGAAGATTATTTAACTTACCATTAACTAACAACAGAATAAATTGATTAAGATTAAAATGATTCCTTTTCTATTTTATAATTGAGACAGAAAAAATTCGTATTTTAATTTATATGAAAACAACTTAACTCACCGTTTTTTAGGTACTATTCGATAATTATGCAATGAAATTAAGTGATAATTAGCACTGCATTTAATTAATTACTACAATTCACTATAATTACTTGTAATATGACAATTATTTACTTTTATGTTGTCAACCAACATCGGTGTCTTGATTTACAAATAACGTAATTACAATGCAGAAAAAATGCGAGAAACGAAATAAAAAAAAAATTATACAGCTAAAATGTCACATGGAATTTTATTATTATTTTCAAGTGTTTTCTGGTGAGAATGTGAATAGAAATCTGGAGAGACTACAAGTATAAATATATTTAAAGAAAATCTTTTATAAAGTAGGTAAGATTTTTAATTAATTATAATAATATTTATTAACTAATTAAGCGACTGTGAATGACATAATTATAGAAAATAATCATGTTAGTATTGATGATAATACTGTAGAATTAAGTGTAGGGAATTTAGTGAATGCAGTAGAATAATAATCGATATTTTAACTATACGATAAAACAAAACATTCATTCTCGTTGTTGTACGAACAAACATAAACATGTTGGAGTTCGAGTAATCAGAGCCAACGTTGATAATACGTGTGTGTATCGTTTAAAGTGGAAGAAGTTCAAATGATCAAATCCGAGTGATTTTCCTTATTTGTTTAACACGTAATAATAAACAAACAAACGACACATGCATGTGAAAGTCGAAATTTAAGATAAGTAATGAATTTCTCACAAAATTCAGACAAAGAACGTCCAGTTTCTTTCCAAAACGACACACTTTTAGGTCATCGTTCCTCAATTGTTTTTCATTCATTCATTCGAAAAGAAAACACAAAGCACTTGTGTCTTGTCGAATCAAAGTGCACGTAGGAAGGATCGACGTAATTCGTCAAGGACCCAAAATTCTTGATCTTATGAGAGCAAACAACAACAAAATTTAATGACTCTGATTGTAAACAACAACATTTTTCTGTTTTACTAATTGGACGTTAGATAAACGTACAGCTGGATTGCAAAAATAATAAATATGCATGTTAATGTAAGAAACGAGCGGATTGCGATGTTGTCAATCAATAATGTTCGGCTATTTTTTTTTGGTTTCACGTAATGAACTTTGGATTATTACTGCACATATGTTGACACATATACACAACACGTATAAATGCATGTTTTTATCACTCAGTTTTACGCGATTGATTTTTGTATCATCTTATAAGGAAAAGAGAGAACTGAATGCAGTGGAAATAGTATCTAATGATTTACTTGAATCTTTT